CACTTAAACTAATAAATATGATATCTTACTGATAACAATGATTAACAAAAACAGCACAACATAACAACAATGCATATAATTTAAACTTATAATTAATAAAAAAATGTATTTACTGTTTTATTTTTATTTTCCTAATAAAAATAATTAAAACATGGAAAATATATTTTAAGCTGTATGATTAATAATTGTATGATTATGTTTAATTTTGTATTTAATTACAAATTATACATTTATACATATTAAAGATTTTTATTTTTCACAAAAGCAATTGAAGGCAATCATTTAAACACATTGAATCAATCAATCGCTTTATCTGCACCATTTATATATTTATACAGATTTAATTTATTTTTGGACAGCTAGATTTATGCCCCACAACTAATAAAACAGGAATGTTGGGACTACTGAAGTCATGTTATCTCAGAATATTTCTTGAAGTTTTAATTTCTAATTTTTTAACTTTATTTCATTCTTTTACCTGCACTGGCACATATGAATTTAACTTTCATTTTTTATTATTTTTCATTAATGTTGAATATTGTGGTATTAAATGAACAAAGTTTTACACTTTTGCTTTTATATTTTTTAATAGATATGTTATGGCAGAGTTTGAATGCATGAAGTGCATACTAAAACTAATAACAAAATTAATTTTTACCTTATAATTTTTATTAACTATTAATATTTAAATGCTAAATTTGATTACTAATAAAATAATCAATTAACATTTTTGCACAATAACAAAAATTCAATAGTAATATCTGCTTTTTATTAATATTCCTTAAAATAACTCAAAGGTCTACTAACAAGAACTATTAATTCTGATAGGGGCAATACTTAACCGCTGTTCACGGGATTTGGGTATGATTGATGATTTACTTCCTCCATGCGCTTCTGACTGTATAGAGGTATGTCAAAAGATAAGTTGAGAAATATGAAATCTTTGTAATTTCATTTTCATAACTTCTCAAGTTTAATTTCAGATAAGTTTTTAAATTAATTTTATCTATATATAAATACACGTATATTAGTCATCCCCTATAAGTATAAATGTTTAGTTTTAGAATTTATTAAATTTTAAAATTTCAATAAACAGTGAAATTTTAAAAAATCTCATTTAATCATTTATTTTTGAACATATTATTCAATAAACTTATTTAAAGTAAGAAATTGAGTTTTCTTTAAATGATTAAATATTTGTTATAAATAAATGTATTTTAATTAATTAATACATTATTTATTTTTTTGATTATTCAAATTGTGAAGTAATCTGCAGTTAATTAATTAATAGTAGGTAAAGTTATAATTAATAATACCAATTTAATAGTTATGCATAATTAAAAGTTCTAACTAATTAAATTATATTAATATAAATTTATTATGGTATATTATTACATTTAGTTATAGTAAATTTTTATTATAGAATTTAATTTTAAATATTCATTTTTAATTCAAAGAATACCTTATTTTAATATAAAATAATTAAGCAAACATTTTTTCAATGATATCAAATTTTATGCCTTTGTGTCCTTATCTTATAGTTTTGCATTTAAATTCTTTACAAGGACTTTATTTATTACTAGGACTTATTACACCGGTGACCTGGTTCTGCAAATTAAGAAAACAATTCAGAAAAACAAATAGTCCTTTTAGACAATTTAAGTACAAAACTTTTTAAATAATATTTCAAAGAGTTTTTAAATTATTTTTGTTTCTANTTTATCTGTTGTAATAAAATTCAGTAATAATTTGATACTGTAGTCTTAAAAGCAAACTAATAACTAACTATATTGCAGCTATTGAGATTAAAGTTTCAATAGTTGCATTTAATCTACTTGAATTTATCTTTCAGCCAAATATAATGATAGAAAACGTTTTTTTTTAAGTTTTTTATGTAAAAAGATCAGTCAACTTTTACAAATTGACTATTCTTATAACATTTCTTGTTAATAATTTAGATGTATTGAATCACAGTTTTATCTAATTAAGGGTTTGAAAGTACAAAAACTTGCTTTGATTGTTTTTGGGTCTGTATAAATTTTTTAAATTTCGCCCTGTGGGCACTAAGAGGGCCTCTTATAGCAAGCCCATTATGGACTCGGCCCACAATGGGGTGTCTGGGTAGTGAGGGATGAGGTCCAACATATCTGGATTTGATCCCAGGTTCCCCAGAGCAGTAGACTGCCACCCAACTGCTCGCCCATCAAGCCATCGATCTGTATAAACTAGACGCGTATGTAGCTCGAAGCCCAGTTTTTTCTCATCTTACCACTTCACTCTACGGATTAGCAACAATAAGAGCATTTCGATGTCAAAGAACATTTGAAATTGCATTTGATAAATATCAAGATAGACATACTTCAGCCTGGTTTTTGTTTTTGGCTGTAACTCGTTGGTTTGGAATACATCTTGATTGGCTTTGCGTTTTGTACATTGTCACAGTTACAGTTGGTCTTATTCTAGCTCCAGGTTGTAAGTGAATAAATAACTTTTATTATGCTATTATTATTGGTTATTATTATTATTACAGTAAAAACTGATATCGCGTTATTACGGACGGCTGACGTAGGTCCGGCCAAAATTATAGGAAAACTCATTCACTATAACTGACTCCTTTATAACAGATTCCCGTTACTATGAACTATTTTTCAGGTCCTGTAGACCATTTTCCTTCCGTTATTACGGACTTTTCAATCGCCGTTTTATTTCATTTAATGTCAGTCATCGTTTTATTTACTTTATTGGAAAAAATAAATACAAAAAGAATACGAGCAATTATTTATTGTGACATCGTCACAATGCTGGGCTGCAATTTTTAGTCATATTTATAATTTATTTCATTTAAAATACTGTATATGCTCACCACCTGAAATTAGTGATGTAGTATCTTGCCCCTGTACTGTACATCATTCTTTTCCTTTAACATAAAGTCGTGCCGGTCGTCTGTTAACTACTTTCAGGGAAAACATTTTCAATTGAAATAACGTGAATTCCGGTTTGCATCGAAAGTTTATTTATAGTTAATCAGAAATTCATATAAAGTTACACTGGTAATCTGGTCTCATAGCCCTAAGATTTCAATATCTGGTGTCGTATTTCGTCTATCTAACTCCGTTCTCGAGATTAAGGAAGGACGGTCCTACGACAGTGGGAATTTATAGATCTACAATTTTTTTTTTTTCAAATTGCAGCCCAATGAAACTCATTCTAAAATAATGTTTTTGATGTAGACTATATTTTTGCATTACATCTAGTTTTTGGTTTCATTTTCTGATCGACTAGTTTTGTTCAGTTTTGGTTTCATTTTCTCTACAAGCAGTCTTGGTTTTTTGTGTAAAGCAAAGTCATGGATCATAAAAGAAAACGAAAGCTTTACATTTATATTTTAGATTTACCGATAGGTGTAGATATATTATTTTTACAAGTTTAATAAAAATCTGGCTTATAGTCTATACTTCACGAATGAAATTTCGTCCATTACGTAGGATAATTGACTTTTGTCCGCAATATCGATATACAGAAATGATCAAGACAATATTACTATATATTACTATAAACAGTACAATCCTCATATTAGCAGTAACAGATCCGCTGAAACGAGGTAAAAATACATTGATTTTGCATCTGGACCCGGAGAAAACATCTGCAAACTGCAGATAATTTCTCGGATCCGTTATCGAGCTCTATTCTAATGTGATTCTACTGTATAGTAATGGACTTTCATTATAACGGATCAATTTCTTTAATCCCATGGTGATCCGTTATATCAAGCATTTACTGAATTATTATTGACCTATGAAATCTGATATATCAATTGCTGTTACAAAAACATCATTGCTAATTTTACAGTTAATATTGTTTATTATTATTATTGCAGTTTCATTCACTCAATATAATATTTCTTTGAATACTAATTTAAGCCTTCTTCAAAATCAGTGTCTTTAGGAGGTGAAATTGGACTTGCAATATCATCTGCTTTAGCTTTAAGTGGATCTTTCCAGTGGGGTGTAAGACAATCTGCTGAAGTAGAAAGTCAGGTAATTTCTAAAAGACTTACTAACAATTTAGTAATTAATACAGTAATACCCCGAACTTACGCGATAGGTGGGACCGAGCGGTAACCGCGTAAGTCGAATTCGCGTAAGTCGGGGTGTCATTTCGCATATAAATACATACAAATAATTTTTAATTGGGGCCGGAGACTAAAGAAAACAATAATTTAGAAAAAAATGTTTAATAAAATCTTAGATAATACATATGTATAACAAATTAGGCCTATATTATTTTACAATTTTTCACATTTACTCGATTATTACGCCATAATTTTAACATTGTTTCCATCTCAGCGATAATACTGTGACGTTTACGAATGATGCTTGAATTTAAAGATTGAGCATTTTTCACAGCTTCGAGAATTTTTTCTTTGCCTTTTATAATTGTTCTGACCGACAATTCCGGTAGATCAAACTTCTTTGCCAATTCACAAATTTTCATTTTTGTATCGAAGTCTTTAATAATGGGTACGTTCGTAAAGTCAAGCCAGTTAAACGCGTTAATAACGAATCATTCGAAAAGTCTAACGAAATAGGAATAACGATGACGTCATTCTCGTTTAACTCGTTCGACTTTACGAACATACCCGATGTTAACCTTACATTCCAAAGATAAAGTCTTTCTTTTCTTGTTTGATGCGGAAGAATTAGTTCTACTTCGTTTGGATGACGTAGTAGAGTCTCTCAAGTCTCCGTAGATATAACAAACACAGAAATAAATAACAAAATAAATTGTAGCTATGTGTCGATTTCGCGCGACACGTCCGAACATGTAAGCTGAACAATAGTGTGGGGGGAGTGAGTAATCGAGGGTTGCGTGGCGCTCGAACAAAAAACGAATCGACTAGATTTGAAAATCGCGTAACTCCGGGTTCGCGTAAGTCGAGGTATTACTGTAATTTAATGACTTATTCTTATTAATTATTAAATTTACTATGTATTTTACAGATGACATCTGTAGAACGTGTACTTGAATATAGCAGGTTACCATCAGAGGCTGCTTTGAGGTCATCTCCAGATAAACGACCTCCACCAGATTGGCCAAATAAAGGAATGATTACATTCGATGATGTATCTTTACAATATTTAGAAAATGATCCACCAGTTTTAAAAAATCTAAACTGGCATGTCAAACCTCAAGAAAAAGTATGACAAAGCATTTCTCCAATTCTATATTTTTATCTGTAGAATAACAACAATTATAAACTTGATTTTCAGGTAGGTATTGTAGGAAGAACGGGAGCAGGCAAAAGTTCAATGATTGCTACTTTATTTCGAATGACTGAACCTACAGGAACTGTTTATATTGATAACATAGCTACTAGTGAAATAGGTTTACATGAATTGCGAAATAAAATTTCTATCATTCCTCAAGTATGTATTATTTTATAAAAATTTATTTATTTATTATTTTAAAAAATTTTATCGTATAAATATTTATTTATTTGTATTTGTTAATACCAATACATTGCTGAATTTTTAAAATTTTATCTGTTGTAATAAAATTCAGTAATAATTTGATACTGTAGTCTTAAAAGCAAACTAATAACTAACTATATTGCAGCTATTGAGATTAAAGTTTCAATAGTTGCATTTAATCTACTTGAATTTATCTTTCAGCCAAATATAATGATAGAAAACGTTTTTTTTTAAGTTTTTTATGTAAAAAGATCAGTCAACTTTTACAAATTGACTATTCTTATAACATTTCTTGTTAATAATTTAGATGTATTGAATCACAGTTTTATCTAATTAAGGGTTTGAAAGTACAAAAACTTGCTTTGATTGTTTTTGGGTCTGTATAAATTTTTTTAAATTTCGCCCTGTGGGCACTAAGAGGGCCTCTTATAGCAAGCCCATTATGGACTCGGCCCACAATGGGGTGTCTGGGTAGTGAGGGATGAGGTCCAACATATCTGGATTTGATCCCAGGTTCCCCAGAGCAGTAGACTGCCACCTTAACTGCTCGCCCATCAAGCCATCGATCTGTATAAACTAGACGGCATGGCCTTGTACAAAACTTGTATCCAAAACATTCAAGATTTATTTGATTTATTTCAACTTAATTTCACAATTTGAAATCATTAGTAATTTTATCTTTGTAAAGGATTTCACCTTTACGAAAATAAAATTATACTTTTTGCAAATTTTTTAAAAATCAATTCATAAAAACTGAATTTCTCAGCACTATTCTTGCAGGCCTCGGTCACTCACTTTTCTTACCTTTCACGTCACATTCTCACTTTTTTGGTCATTTCCACGTGCTCAATTAAGATGCGGGACCAATCAAAAATAATTTTAAAGCCAAACGATCTGCCAAATTATCGGACTATCGGAATAGAATTTTCTGGAAGAAAATCTCGGTTCTGACGGGACTCAAAATCGCAACTTCCGCTTAGTGTTGTTAGGTTATAGGAAATAAAAATTCCTTTCACGTATGTAAAGTCTTTCATGCACTTAAAAAAATCCCTCTCATTACAAATTCAGAACCCAAAATTGAGCCAATATTAATTAATGTTATGTACTCATGCAATATTGTCATTATTAGCCAAAATCTAGTTCTTCAGAGTTGCATTTCTATCTATGAGGATTAAAAAATAAGTATTTTAATTAAGCATCCCTACGTTTTTGGCTGTTTTCTAGGAAAATCCCTTTGTAGGGAAAAACACGCTATGCTGAGAGATTAATCTCTCAAGCTGACAACACTGCTGCCGCTTCTAAATTTAAAATATATTATAATTTTTTAAATGATTAGAGTTTGGTTTATTTATAGTTTATAAAATATTTTTTAAATGATTAGAGTTTGGTTTATTTATAGTTTATAAAATATTTTTTAAATGATTAGAGTTTGGTTTATTTATAGTTTATAAAATATTAAAAATTTAATAATATGATATTTATCATCAGAAATTTATGATGATGAATATCATAAATTTTTGAAGTAAATGATAAATTATTATTTAAACTAGGAGAAGTATTGAATCGTTTTAGTAGAGATATGGGTTTTATTGATGATGTACTCGATATTACAGCTGATGATATGATAAGTGTAAGTACTAAAAATATTTTCATGCTATGAAATCTCTGCCATTAACATAGTCAATTGTGCAATTTGATTTATTATATTAATTTTTGAATTTTAAATTGTTTTAATTTTTCTAAAAAATGCTTTTTAAAGCAATTGATTAATAGCAATANTAGCGTTTGAGCAACAATATATTATAATTATTAAAATTAACACGAGATAGTGGCGTAACCTCCTACCTCTAGACAAATTATTTCGTTTCTGACCATTTAATTATTCTTGTTATAGCCAATAATTTGGCAGATCATTTGGTTTTAATTAACAATTGGGTTAAGGAGTTGTCGTTTACAAGAATATTCTTTACTTTATTTTTTACTTTATTTATCTTTAAATAATTTCATAAACTTGAGTTAAATAGAATAAAGTTATTTTAATGATTTCATAGCATGTTGTTAACGTTTAATCACATCTATATATTCCTAAATGTATGTGTAAATTGACTACAAGTATAATGATTCCGTGTAATAAGTATTATTTTCATAAAATGTGTGATTATTTTATTTGTGAAATATCCATTTTTTTTTTTAATTTCTCTTGTGCCGATTATAAGTGTGCATTAATTGAGACTAAAAAAGTAAACGAAAATGTAAATTCATATTTACACATGGAATCTTTTAATTTATTTGGTAAATTTTAAGTGTTGTAAAAAGTAAAACACGTGATTGCTGCCGGGAAAAATTTTCACACGCTTTCCATAAGGTTAAGAACGTTGTAACGATGTTGCTTTTTATTTATCTACAGGAAAAAGTTCCTTGTTATTTATGAAATCATTAATAAAACATTATACTTATACTGTTTGAAATCTGTTTATTTTAGATTTATTAATTTATTTTGAAATCAATATTTACACGTCTCGAATCATCAAAAGATAAACAATTTTCTGATCACGATAGATGTCTCAGTGTAGCCAAATTAGTGAAATCAGCATTGACCCTCTCTCATGACAATGCTAATATGGAACGGGGATTTTCAATTTCATGCCGCGCACTTCCTCCTGATAGAGCATCAATGTCGGAAAGAGTGCTTAAACCAGAAAAAAAGTAGAAGAAAGAGAAATACATGCGATAGGCCAAGTTTTGCGAAAAGCAGCAAAAAAAAACAAAAAAAACCTGGAGAAGTCCATCAACAGCAAGAACATGAATGAGTACGGGCAGCACATGTAATGCTTGTTAGTGTTAAAAGTATTCAAAAACAAGAGGAACCAAAAAAGAAGAAAGCTGAAAACATCCAGAATAATCAGAATCAAAGAGCATTATTTTTCATTACTGATTATTTACTAATGCCAAAGACTTTTTAAGTATTTATGGTTTAATGGAAATACAGTAGCTTCTTGCTATGTCGCACTTGTCAGGAGACAACGAAAAAAGCGCGATATTACCGAGTACTAAAAATTCTGGGGCTTATACTAGACAGATTATACATGGTATGCAATCTACATTCTCTATTTTTTCATCAGCAAGTGTTTTTGATATAAAATAAGCTTAGTTTTTCAATGTTGAACTTTATTCTTGATTATATCGTATTAATTGACGTTTACGTAAACACCGATACCACCAACGCACATTTAGCATTGTTTCTTTAATAATGACATGTAAAGACAAATACTATATAAAATCGATATAATCGATATAAAAGTAAAATATCAGTTCCGATTTTATTATACAGTACAGTATTATTTAATAAGCGATTTATTTTCACAATAAATCGCTTATTAAAAATTCGTGTAATACAGTATGTTTTTCAGTAAAAATTATAAATGCCGTAATTGAAAATTTTTAAAAAGAAATATGGAACATATAATAGAACCAACAAAATTTATAAAATTACGGAGAGTAAAAATCCTCTAAAAAGCAAAATAAAGTTACTTCTGCATAAAACCTTTCCGTTCAGAATTAAAAAATCTTTTCCTTACACATTATGCGGTGAATTCGAAATTTCACATCTTTATGTGAATTGACGGTATTGCGTCAATTCACGTAAAGGTGTGAAATTCCGAATTCACAGAAACTTGTAAATGAGAAGACGGTACTTAAAACTAACAAATAAGCAATTTTTAATATCAAAAGACAATTATTTAAAACAAATGACAATTGATATGTCTACCTGTTTTGCATATTTAGAACTTGATGAATTTGTTGTTTCACCTTCAGTGGTAGTTTCAAGGACAATAGTAGAAATACTGTATTTTGTTGCAAATAGAAATTCAATGGCAATTGGTATTTTAAAATTTGGAGGACAAAAAAAACGCGATATAAAGGAATGGCTACTGTATTACAGTATATACAAAAACTAGCAGACCCTGTCACGCGTTGTTGTGGCTCAAAATGTATCTATTATAAATGTATAATTTCCCCCATGGGGGGAAATTTTTCGAAAAATTTCTTCTTAGTGTACATTCTCTTGACTTACCCTATTAAAACGCAATCAAAACGCAAAAACCCGCATCTAAAATAGTATAATAGAAGCAAAGTTCTTCACGGTAAGCCTTAATCCTGTCTCTCTTCCCCGCGGGAGGAAATTTCGAAAAATCCCTTCTTAGTGTACATTCTCTTGACGTACCCTATTAAAACGCAATCAAAAACGCAAAAGCCGCATCTAAAATAGAATAATAGAAGACCAGTTCTTCACTGTAAACCTTAATTTTGTCCCTCGCCCCTGCGGGGGAGAATTTCGACAGCTATATAATATAAAAACGCACGTATTCGAATGCAACGTTGTGTCAAAATTTCAAAGCAATCGGTTAAGAACTTTCAGAAATTTAAGATTTTGAACAAACGAACATTTACATTTTTATTTATATAGATTACAATATGAAGAATCGATGAAAAAAAGGACATAAGTAAAACTTAAAAAGACATTCATTCTTTTTCAATCGATTAACATTTTAAATTATGGTGTTCTCTGTTTCGTGAAGTGAAATATCTTTGAAAAATCATGTGAAAGTAAATCTAATGGCACTATGAGCACTATGAATTAATTCTCTATGATTCCAGAAAAGTGCGAATTTCCCTAAAATTATTGGGCATATTTACGTATATAAGTATTCATACGAAATATATACGTAAGTAGGCCCATGTGGAGGTATATAGATTCTTAAGTAGGCCTATATACCTCCACGTATATTTACGTTTTCATACTTTATACCGCCTGTGACTAAAGAGGAAAGAAATAAGCGCTCGTTTTCTATATTCAGAAGGGATCAATTTGAAATAAACCAGCGATGAGTTACTCAACTTTCCCAGCAACATTTAAAATTTTTGGTGGCGCCATCTGTTAGTCATATTTTATTTTAAAAACTTTTTATATTTTTAACTACTATAAAATAGCAAAAAGCTGAATTTTGAGGGTAGGGATAGGTTTTTATNAAAGTTATTCCAAGCTGATCTCGTTTTCAGTGCCAATAATTGTGGTGCAGAGTAATCTTCACCAAACAAGACGCTGGCAGCTATAGCACCATCATCAAGCAATCACCCTCTCGTACAGGAGATCATTGCTTACTATTGTAAATTGGTGCTTCAATAAACTGTCATAAATTAATTAATTCAACTGCGTGATTAAATTACTCCCTTATTATTATACTCCATTATTATTATTCCCTTTTCTCCCCTAAGCGAAGCAGATTTATTCTTATCTCTATTTATCAACTCCTAACACTGAACGTAAGACTGTATAAAAAGTGTTCGATTTATATGGCGCATCTGAACTCGTCTGTCAGAAAATTGGCGCATTGTATGCAAAAGGTTGGCCACCCCTGGTATAGATGTTTAAAATGTATTTAACCATAACAGAATAAAAAGAGAAAAAAACAACTTTTACTGCTATTTTGTTGACTTTTCCTTCCATGTTTTCACTTAGTTTTGCCACTATTAAACTCACTTTTACTCACTGTTTCTGTATTTCAACTCACTTTTCTCACTTTTTCGGAATGAAAATGGCACTCCGAGACCTGAATTCTTGCATCTTGTTTACCTAACTTATGTTAATAAGTTTAAGAAGCTTTAGTTTAACATTATATTGTTTTAATTTTAAAGTCTGTTATATTAATATCAAATATATCTTCAATTAAGTTTTGCATATTTATTAAACTTTTATTCGTATTATATTATTTAGTAAAAATTCTCAAGTAAAATTGTTTAAAAAATACTTAATTTAAAAAATAAAAGCCAGTTAAATTATTAAAATTATGCTAATAATAAATCAATAAAGTTTTTTTTTTTATTTTAGTTAAAAAGTTTCTTTTGGATATCTTCTGCAATGCTCTACACTCCTTATTCTCAAAAAGGCTAACTGTGTAAGCAATAATAAAATAATTTTCAATCCTACTGTTTTAGGATCCTGTATTATTTACTGGACCTGTTCGAAGAAATATAGACCCTTTTAGTGAACATATTGATGAAACTTTATGGAAAGTGTTGGAAGATGTAAGTTATTGTTACAAATAATAAATTACATAAATAATATTTTATTACAGTAATTTAAACAAATATTAAGTAAGGCTTATTTTATTTATTTAACCATTAATAAATTATCTGTTTTTAAATAACAGTTATCTCATAAAAAAGTTTCTTATGTACAGGGTATAAATATTTCAGAAGATATTTTCAATTGACATTATAAATAGATCATTCTGTATAAATTAATATAAATTATTACTTAGCTATCTGTTATTAAAAAGTTTTTAGTAAGACCATTATTTAATGTGGTCAATTAATTATTTCATAAATAAAAAATAATTTTCTGAAATGTGATGATAGTTGGTTTATGGACTGATGTTAGTTTACAAAGAATTTTCAATAGTCCATAGTTATATCTCAAAGAAACTGGTAATATTATAAGAAAATTTTAAATATGAAAATATGTAAGTAGATATTTCAGGTTAGAGAGATATTTTTATTTATGGATCAAAGAAATCAGTTATTTTCTTGTCCTATTGCAGTGGTGAATGGCGCTATACAGAAGTCAAGAAATTTCCAGAGCCACCAGTTCTCTGATGGCTCTGGAAATTTCTTGACTTTTTCTGGTGGCTCTGGAAAATGTGACTTTATATTTATAGGTGCCAGCATCAATCAATGTATTTTTCATACTGCTTGAATATGTCACATTGTATGCCTTATGGCCACTTCTTTACTTTCAAATATCAAAAATTAGTCAACAATAACAAAATCAAAATTATTATTCTTTAATTTTTTTCAAACATTTATTTTGTCTCATTATGCAAGAAACAAATGTTATTTGCTTTTCCAACAATCAAAGAAGTTATGAAAGACAGGAGCATAACCAGGAGGATGCTATGGTGCTGCAGCACCCCATTGATACCAAAGCAATAGGTTCGTTTATAAAATAAACATAGTAATGCATATTGTATGACTTCAGTTATGTAAGATATGGTAAAGTAAAGTAATTTTAAGATAATTGAGTAACATTTTCTGAAAAATAACAAGGGACACATACCTTGATCCTCCCTGAATCTGACTTGAGCAGCATCCATATTCTCTTGGATATAATGCTGGAAAGAAAGACTACAAAGTACTTGTGTATCAATCACATCTACAATGCTGGCAAATGTTCAAAGAATTATGTAATGAGACTAAATTAATGTCTGAATGTAAAAGTATTATTATTTGAATAAAAAAATATGAATTTTTCAAATTGATTTCAGTACTAATTTGTTAACGGTTATTTTCACTTTACATGATGGTTTAAGAAAAAAGAAACCTCCCCCACATTAAAAGTTGCTTTCTTAGCATAGAATCAAAATATGTTAACATATTGATAACATTCCATTTGAAATTTCATTGACCAGTTTACATGAAAGTTCTTTAGTTGATTTAACAGTATCTTTCAAAACTTGAACACTAACAAAAACTTATTTTTAATCATTGATTGGATAATGAAATGTTGAAGTGTATCACTTTATTTGGACTATTCCTCATATTTTATTTGTATTTTAAGGTTCATTTGAAAGATGCTGTTCAAGAACTTCAAGGTGGATTGGATGCAGAATTGTCAGAAGGTGGTAGCAACTTCAGTGTAGGACAAAGACAACTGATTTGCCTTGCAAGAGCAATCCTTCGTCAAAATAAAATCCTTGTACTGGATGAAGCAACAGCTAATGTGGATCCAAAGTAAATCATATAAATTTATTTTATAAATAATATATTTTATACTTATGAAATCCCCTTATACAGTAGGCTCTCAACTTAACAGACTAATTGTTGAGGTGTTTGCTATTGCCAAAAATCCATTAAATTGAATATACAGTGTTTTTCAAACATACATATATTAATAACAAACAGTGGCATACTCAGGATTTAATCTTGGTATTGGGAAAAGATTTTTGGAAAATTTCTAATTTTCCCCCCTTTTTTGTTGGAATGTGCCAGGGTCCCCTTGGCCCCTATCTGGATGTGCCACTGATAACAAACTTGCGATGTATAAGATGTGTTAAATTGTTATAATGTATATATTGGCATGCCTGCCAAAAAATGGTTTCTTCAGATTTTCAAAAGTCCAGTGTGGGGGAAATGAACATCCTACTTTACATTTATTTATTGATAAATTTATCACAACGTTGTTTAAAATGTGTATATTTATTTTAGATTTAGTGAAAAAAATTAACTAAAATGAAGTGTCTCTCAAATCATAGCTTTTGTTATTTGTCTCTGTTATCCTTTGCATCAATACAGCATATGCATCGATTGATGAATAATTTAAATATCATTGGTTAACATTTTAACTTTCCACTAGTGGTACTAAGTTCAAAATAAGATCACAGAATGTAATTTAAAATTAGATATGTCCAACAGCTTCACGCTAAAGTTTGGGGATCCTAACCCATTCAATCCTCCACCAGGCATGCCCATAAATGGATAAGTATGGATAAAATATTATTGTGATGTACATTGTAATTTTTAAGCAAAACTAAAGCATCTGTCAAAAATTAAAATAAATTTAAGACGTATACCAAACTTTATATTAATTAAAGACATCAAAAACTACACTGTCTCTGAGTGTTTCTATCATTAGGAGAGCCTCTTTGACCCATCCTTTTAACATACTTTATTTGTAAATAAAACAGATTCTAAATATTTCCTTTGGGAAAATTATGTTTTAGTTAAATCTGAAGTCTATTAAATCAAGGGCCTACTGCATTAAAATAGAATAATAATAAATTTTTTACAGCTTTTACTTAGTTTTCTTAATTTATTTTATTTAAATATAAAGTAGATTTTATAAAATGTAAATTTAATGTTATACATTAATTCTTTTTACCTCTATGTCCTTATTGTTTTACATTTCTGCGTATATACTGTGGGCTACTTGACCTTGTTTATTGGTGTAATAAAGTCAAAACAAAATATCTTTATTTTCACATATGAAAATAAAGATATTTTGTTTTGACTTTTGACTAAGATCATCTTTTTATGCTAATCAGAATGCATTTTTATGCTTATTATACTGGTGTAGTTACATCAGTATAATAAGTCCTATTAATAAACAAGGTCCAAGTAGACAGTATTAAGGCTATAAATATTTATTAGTTTCTTTTTATATACCTGATATGAAGATTATGACTTAAATAGAAAATTAGTTTTTAAGCAGATTTTAAATATTAATTAATTTTTAAAATAATTTTAAATATTTTAAAATGCTATTCACAATATGTAATATTTAGCTATTCTCATTAATCTGATATTAAATCCTATGTCCTGTCAATTCAATATTATGAAAATTATATATATATATATATATATCTACAAGGTCTGTTCAAAAAGTATCGGACCTTTGGTCAGCAAAAATAAATTTATTGACTTTGAGGTACAAAACCCTAATCCCCTTCAAAGTAGTCTCCTTGGTAATGTATACACTTCTCCCAGCGTTCCTGCCATTGCTGGAAACACTGCTGGAACGCATCTTTTGGAATGGTTATCAGCCGGTCCGTCGCATTTCGCATGATGTCTTCTCTCGACTAAATTTGGGTTCCTTTTAGCGGCATTTTCAGCTTGAGAAATAGCCAAAGGTCACACGGAGCCATGTG